TGTCGTCTTGTACTGTGAGCGGCAGCAGAGCTCACACTTACATCTCGTGGAGAAAGAGTTAACAGTGGGAGGATAGAGATGGCAAAGGACGCCTGTCTTATGTTGTCTTGTGCTTGGTAAGGTCATAGGCAGTGCAAACCCACACCCCTTGCCTGATCTTTTCACGGTTACAGGCCAGGGCACATCACACCTCCCGGGACCCCCGGGAGAGGAGACGGGCAGCTCGGAGGCACCGCTGACCTCCTCCGGCACCCAGCGAGCCGCCAGCACCGCTCTGCCGAAGCTCCCCTTCCCTCTCACGAGTAATGCGTTCTTGCTTGGGAAACTTTTTTCTCTGCTCCTTCTGTGTGTCCTGGGTTATTATGTCTCTGTTATGTAAGATGAGGCAAAAAAACCCCAAAACCCACTAACCCTGAGGACAGCAAAAAACAGGGAACAGAAACTGGGAAGCCAAGCGCTACAAATAAAGAGCAGAACAGGAATTGCAACTGGAGCCCGAAGCATTGACTGCCAAGTGCAGGAGCTGAATGAGAAAAGAAAAAGTTACAGTTCACCAACAAAGAGCACATTTAATTTCCCCTTCTGGATTTTCACCAAGACAAAATTTGCTTTCTCTCTGCGTGTGGAAAGCAATGATTGCAGGGAACATCTACAAGGCAAAACTGTTTGTTTCCGACTGCTCCGTGGAAAGCCCAAAAGGAAAATAACTGACTAAAATCACGTTGCCACAGAAGAGGACTCTCTAGATTTGTCCATTTTTCTATTTCTTGAAGCTGCTGTCAGGAACTGGGAGCTGAGCTCTGTGCAGAGAACTTAAGAGCAGCCTCCAGCTTGTTCCCGGCGTGGTTTCTGGCCAGGGAAAGCCCTTGCTGTCAGGCAGGAGAACCTGGTCAACGGGACGTGGGAACCGACGGGTGGGAAACCTGTGCGATACGGCCCGTCAGCCTGCGCAATGTTGGCACATCCCCCTGGGTGGTATTTTTATTCAGATATGCAATGCTAATTTGTGCCGGTGGTTGGGGGTACGTTTGAGCCTGGGAAAAGAGATCCAGAACCAGAAAGTACTGCGGGTGAATGACTATCGAAGAGACCAGGTGCAGGCTGCAACCACTTGCTTGCCCAGAGTGGATTTTGAGGCTGGATGTACCTTCAGCACCCCGGGTGAATCTGGTCAGACCTCCCCTTTGCCCCGCACGAGGAGCATGGCTGGAGGGACTCTGCCTGACCTGGGGGAGGTTCATGTCCACTGCACTAAAGCATGCACTCATGCAACCCAGCACTTCATCCTCATGATGGTGGCCCCTTCCCAGACCTCTCAAATGGTGGGTTTCCAGCCAGAGGGGTTTGGGTTGTCAGTGCCTGCACCAAGCGTTTTGGAGGTTGCGTGACGGGCAGGTGATGAGGGAAGGAAAGACTCGCTGGGCCGATACTGCAAAAAACCAGCCAGCGCCGCTCCTCCAGCACCTCCTGCCCGCCCAGCTCCTGGTGGCCCAGCAGCCCGTCCTGTTTCAAGGTCCCCGACCCCACAAGGCTGGTTGGTGGTAGCCAGGGAGGGGCAGCCGTGCCGCCCTGCACAGGCAGGAGCTACAGCTGAGGGAAGCGGGGAGAAAGGAGGTGGGAAGCATGAGTGTCACAGGAGTGTTTTTCCAACCCGGGTGCCGATTTCTGTGGCTCTCAAAGGTGTTGAAAGGCTAATTATGTGACATGCTGTGAGGGGCTTGGGCACAGCTGCTGTGGTATCTTGTAAGCAAACCCAGCAATTTACTTAAAAAAGAGGCAGGTTGTCTCGCATGCATCATCTCTGCTGAAAGGAGGTGGGAAGCATGAGTGTCACAGGAGTGTTTTTCCAACCCGGGTGCCGATTTCTGTGGCTCTCAAAGGTGTTGAAAGGCTAATTATGTGACATGCTGTGAGGGGCTTGGGCACAGCTGCTGTGGTATCTTGTAAGCAAACCCAGCAATTTACTTAAAAAAGAGGCAGGTTGTCTCGCATGCATCATCTCTGCTTGCTTATTTCAGACTGCCTGATCTATCTCCTCTGTGGTGCTTCTTATTTCACTGCTAGCATGGAGAATTAGTCTTTTTTCTCTCTTTCCCCTCTGCTGCTCCTTCTGCCAGTGCTTGCTCCAGTCTTTGCTTTATTTGCAAGCATCAAACAGCAGCCTTTTCACTTGAGGCTTTCCCAGTTCCCAGACACGTCAATGCAATTCGGTTCCCAGCCTGGTGCTGATGGACTTGGTGTGGATCTTGGCCTCTCCTGTCTCCCCTCACTTTGAGAGACCAGAGCATCTCCCACCTCTGCCACAGGAGTGCAGGGCTCTTCCTCCAAAAACTGGGGCACTGAGCACCCCTGGTTAGGGGAGGTGACCAAAGGCTTTCCCACTCCACGGTCTGGGTGAGGACAACGCTCGGTTCCCAGCAGAGCGTGGCGTTTCTGCCGTGCTTCAGCCTCACAGTGTTCATGACAGCAGCAGCTCGCCTGGAGAGTTGTCAGCGGTGATAAACTCAGTCCCGTTCTGTTTCAAAATTGGTTTAAGAAAGATGCCTGGCTGTTTAATATTTAAGCTAAATGTTTAATGTTTAAACAGGGAAATTGTTCTGATTGTCAGAAAGGGCATTAAAGCAGGATGGAAACTGGTCTATAATCTCTGACAAAGGCTGCCCTTTCTCTGCAGCAGCATGGTGCCTGGGAGCCGCAGGGATTTCAGAAATGCCAATTTTAATCAACCTCTTTCATTTCATTTGCCGCTTACCACTCCCACAGCAGTGAGACATGCTTTTTCCCTGCAAAGAGAGGAACATTGTACCCAGCCCTGTTTAACAGTTTGAGACTAGTTCAGCTGAATTGAACTTGCACTTTAAAATCCAAACAAATTGCAATAGAAATGTGCGTGGATAAGATGAAAAGCGAAGCTGGATGGTGTCATGGGTGTGTTCCAGATGATTTGGGGTCCCTTTTGCACATGCACGCAAAAAGTTGTGAAATTCAGATGTCAAGTGTGAAGTCAGCAGAAAAATGAATGGCTCGAATTGCCACAAATACATGTACAGATGAGTATTTGTAAACAGATATGGACAGTGTTTTTCTGGCAGTGGAAATATCTCCCTGGGGGAAGCGTGCAACAGTTTTGTGCCACAAAAGGCTTGTCAGGAGCAAGCCTGTGCTCCCTCCCTGAGCCCTTGGGCATTGTGGCTGTGCCTGGCTGCATGTCCTGGGTAGTCCTAGCGCGCAGGAATCGCTGCTCGGTAATGGCTGGAGCTGGGGAGAACACATTCAGCAGGGTAGGCCCTCAAGTCAAACAGCAATTCATGTTAGTCACTTTTCCCCCCTTAACATGTTCTTAAGGTGGATGCTAAACCGACCTGCCAAAAGTCCTTTAAAAAAAGCAGTGAGTACTACAGTTTAGTGTGTTCAAAATCCAACATTGCTGCTTCCTACTGAGACTGTTCTCTCCTTTCTAGCGAGGGTAATTTGAAATGCATGTGTAAGTTCAAAGTAGATGGGAAAGTTGAAGCTGAAAATGTAGATAGTCTTCTTATAAATAATCTGTTCAGGCTTTTTTTTTCTCCCCTAGAGAAACCTGTAGTGGCTGGCTGATCCTCACACAGAATGGCTGCAAACAAAGTAGCTCAGGAGACATGTACTGTCTGTACAACCTTTTCTGTGCAGTGCATAACACTGGCACCGGTGGGCACCTGCTCACATTTGATGACAAGGGGCTGCCTCAAGCATCCTTTCCCTCTGCAAATAGCTTCTGGTTTGGAGCCCCCCAGCACCCGGGCTGAGATTGGTCTGCACTTACGGTGTCTACAAGGCTTTTGTATGAAAACCTGAGAGGACATATGAATGTGGTTGAAGCAGAGGCCAGGAGTGAGGTCATCTTGCGTAGGCAGGTAGGTAGGTATTTCTGTTGACGTATACCTATGGCTAATATCGAGCAGAGCAATGGTTTGGTGGCTGCTGCATGTGAGGCGCCTAGTCATCTAACATGCTAGAGAAACACCATCTTCCACAAACTCACAAAAAAGGACGCAAGAAAGAATCTGAAGAAAACTTTATAGAAGAGCTCCTCTTATCAAGGTCTCAGGACTATTGAAAGGCACATTTCACCCATGTTGAATGACAGTTGAGTTCATGGACACATACAATGCTTACATTTCATGGCAAAAAGAATGCATAATGACAGTATGTTGTGAAACATATATTCCAGACTTCAGTTAAATACTAAAGTGATTATTTTAAGCGTGTCATGTACATAAGAGTGGAACAGGCAGATGCATCCAATTACTGTAATTTACGAGGCAGTAATTCAGCCCCAAATATATTTCTTCTTATTTGAGGAAGGAGGTACAGATTATGAGCAAAACAAGGGGCAGTGAATTCACAGGGAGCCAGGAAGCTGCTGCCATTTAAAAAATAACCGCTAGCATCTGCCACAAGTCGGGGGGGAGGCTTTAACTTTGCTAAGTCATTTCACTCTGCTTCAACAACGAATGGCTGGGCCAGATCGGATGCTCTTGGGCCAGGAAGCTACCGAGAGCCACGGTGTGGCCGTGCTGCACTGACGCAGGCGCCCTGCAGAACAGATAAGCATGGATGTTTGCTTAGTAGCAGGCAGAATAAAGTCCACTTGCGCTTCCTCTCTAACCGTTTAGTGAGCTGCTTCGTGCTAATTATCTCTTTCCATCTACTTCGTGGTTAAGTTTCACGTTGCAATGATTAATAATTAATCAAATGCATTTGAAAATTAATTTGGCAATTCTACATCTGATTGGCATGCTAATCTCTTCCGTGGAGAGGGGATGTTATGGGAATAACCTTGGCTATTCCAAGCTGCTAACCGAGGTGAATACATAAAGGCATTTATTATCTCATGTAGTAAAAAAAATAAAGCAGTGAGTGGAAATGAATGCATTCTCCAAGGCCTCTTTGCCTTTCGGGAAAGGTGTGATCTGCATTTTGCCGTGCCCGTGTTAGGAACATACCATCAGTATTATCATGTCTGATCAAAACAAATGGACAAGGAAAGGGCAAATTTGAAAAACACCCCCACAGTTGATTTATTTCTGTTCAGCTGGTAGCAACTGCAGTAGATTTGATGCATTAATTATGGTACTAAAAAGAAAAATCACAAGGAGAACAACTTTTGCCCTTTCCAGCTGTCCATGCCACTTGTCTCCAAAAATAACACTCATCTGGTAAAAGAGAAGAAGAAGAGGGAGTATGCAGCTTCCACTGGACGACTGATCCCCACTAGTTTCGAATTAGTAGTCCCTTTTTATAGGCAAACAGCCCCGCAGCAGCAACAGAGGTGAAACACACAGTAGAGCTAAGCAGGCACAGCAGTCCTGGCACGGACGGCAGGTTCCTCTCCCAGAAGCTGGTGGTGAACGGTCGGGCTGGGACATCCTGGGGGAGAGAGGAGATGGTACCACCGCGGGGTCTCCCTCACTGCGTGAGCAGTGAGGCGACAAACATCCCCCACTAGTCTGGGGCGATCACAGGCTTTCCCGAGGACCAGATCGGGCTGGGGGGAAGGAGGGTCAGGGCTGTGAAACATGTATTTTCCATTGTCCACAGGAGAGTGAAGGTGGAGTTACTTGCGATTGGAAGGAGGTTATATTTGGCTTAAAACTGTGGCCTGGGACTGGGCAGTACTAGGCTAGTTTCCTGCATTTTGCCACCCCCCAGGCTCTGAGATATTTGTCCCTGGCTCTTGGCCATCCACCCCTCCAACAGGGGTAATAATATTCCTCACATGAGTCAAAGAAAAGAATACTATCAGCATGTGAGGTAACCAAAACCTTGCCAAAGCAGGGACCACAGCCTCAGTGAGGGGTCCACGCCTCGTCAGATGACAATGAGAAAGTCTGGCTTACCTTTGACTCTGGCTCTGGCATCCAAATTTCATTCTCTGAGATCCTCCCCATCCTGTGTAATATCTAGAAGAAAAAATTGTTTGTACCGCATGAGAAAAAATTAAAACACACACCATTTTCAGTTTTGGAAAAGCAGAGCAAGTCAGAGCAAGGTGACATTGATAAAAGGCATAACTAGGACTAGCAGAAAATGTATAGTGATTTCTCTGTTTATATCAGCAGACGAGGCGGCAAGAGTTTTGGTAGTTTGTGTAAATATATAACAGCTGGTCATCAAACAGTTGTGTGCCTAACCAGTTTTAAGTACAAAAGGACAGTTTCACAGAGTCATTTGTAAAAAGTAGGACTTCACTCAGAAATCCACACGAACTACAGCTTCTCCAGATGTTTGTTTTAAATTGTTTTCTGAGTACAAGTAAAAATGTTTTTTCACATGGCAGTTTGAGAAACAGCAAGGTGAGGTTACTGCCATGCAGTTGGGACACAAAGCCTGTTAGGAGTGATGCTGCTTGGATCACAAACTACAAATAGGAGAGATATAACTCTGAGGCTTTCAAAGCATACAGTTACGAAGTTATCTCTTGGCTATTCAGGCAGTACAAAGTTTATCAAGGATTTTTCTTGAGAATAAACTGATTGTAACAATCATGGAGGTTTGTAGGGGCAAATGAATGTCTCCAGAAGAGACAGTTCACCACCTTTGTAACTACTGCTCACAAGTATGGAGAAAAGAGAAATTATGTGAATTGAAATAGAGCAAGTAATAAGGATTATAAGGCAAATAGGACGTTCTGTCAAATGGAAGCAAAGAGCTGATTTTCCCTTAAATAACAGCTCCATGGCTCTGCCATACAGCAGTTGTAACTGTAATGTACGCTCTTTAATGTTTTTTTTCCCTCCCTCCAGACTGTTGTAAAGGGATTTCACTGTGACTGGGAAGCCAGCCCAGCGCGTGTCATTCTGAGGAGATTTAGACATTATCAGAGCTGCCCATTACAAATTCATAAAGCCAAGCTAACGGTACTCTTGTAAAAGGAGAAGCAGAAGGGATAGATCAAAAATGAGAACAATGCTGAGATTTCTAGATTGTGGCATAGGAAATAGCTGCGAGCATTTGTAATGAACTGTAATTGTAATAAACTTAAAAACATACAGTGATTAATTTGTTAGAAATCATAGTAGTATATCTAAGGGCAGCATCAGGTTGGAGGGTTTTTTCCTCTAGACATGAGGTATACTGCATGAGTTTCATTTTAAGTCTCCAGTGCAGCAACACACTGCATAACATTCTGATTCGGGTGAGAGTCTTGGCTTCACTTTATTCAATAACAAACTAAGTAAAGTTTAAAAAAAAAGAAAAAAGGCTTTGGTTGACATCCTTTTCTGGGATTCTTCCCCATCAATTCTAGAAGCCTCTGCACAATTACAAGGTGTGATGAACGGAATCAGACTCTCCAAGTTGTATTTAATCCTTTTTAATCTTTTGATAGAGATGATGAAAGCAAACCAATGGTCTGTACCTCTCTGGCTGCTCGCTCTCCTGCCTGTACAGCCCCCTCCATGTATCCACTCCATTGGGTAGCTGTCTCCGTGCCAGCAAAGTAGATTCTGTCAATGGGCTGACGAATGATCCTTCAAAACAAATGGAGAATGTCAGATGACAGGTAACAGGAAGGTGATGATCCTTCTAAAAGCAATTTATGGGCTTTGATGGAGCGCTCAACTTCAGTTGTCCAGGATTCCTGCAGACCTGAGCTGAGGAGCATGGTGCAATAAGTTGTCCCCGCAGGACCACCTACTTGCTCCTGTACACAAAACTCAAGATCTGAGAGAGAGAAAATCTAAGGCATAAATCAGTGTGCTCAGCTACTGTGCAAAATAATACGAGCCTTATTTTAGTACTGGGATAAGGGATAATCCTAACAGCCTCCAGAAATGCAGTGCAGCTGATAGATTTATGTCTTCTGCATGGCAGCTTTGTTGTTATCCTGCCATTACAATGGGATGTGAGTGATGTTTTTGCAGTGACAGGTCACTAACACCAGCTTCTGTTTGGAAGCTGGACTTGCCTGGCTGCACGTCCTGCCAAAAGGGGATGGCAGCTGAAGGCCTCAGCATTCAGGGAGTTGTATTCACCCCATAGGGTCATGTAAGCCAGTTCTTCAGCTGTGCAAAGCTGCACAAGCATCCCAGTCAACCCATCCATAGGTAATCAGCTGTCTTTCCCATAGAGAGATGTGCTTGCTTCCATCCAACCGCCTGATTAGGTCTTCCCTGTCTGCCTGACACCAGCTTCCCCAGGTCAAAGGCCTTACCCATCACCACCAGGTGTTCAGATAAATTACAACAGAAGAGTCGGTGCATGAGATGACTTCTTCCCACACACATCATGGCACAGAGGCAGTGTATAGCTCCATGATGGACATGCTAAGGAGCTCACGCTGCGATGTGCTACATGGTTTGTCTGGTCTTTGGCTACGGATACAAGATTTGCCTGGTTGTTCCTATTACATGCTGAGCTGTGCCTTACACACACTTCTCGGTGATATACCTAGTATTAATCAATATTATCTAACACATTCCTTTAGGAATACAGCAATTCTGCGTGGCAAGGGCATGGGAGGCTTTGCTGGGTGGGAGGAGAGAATGAGTTTTCAGGTAAGGGTTTTGTGTCTTCCCCTCATGATGTGACTCAATGGGCTTCACCAGAACCTGATGCTTCACCTACACAGTCAGTGGACACTTTTCATCTGTCCAAGATGTGTGCCCTCAAGGTCTTAGAAAGTGTTAAAGGGATCTATTGCAAACACTGTGTAGTGGCAAATACTCTAAGTAACCTAGCGGGGAAAGGTTTCCTGGCTCTAGCAGGTCCCTCTCTGACTGTGCTTTGCTTCCTTGAAAGTCTGGAAGTGAAACTTTGCTCTTACTAAAGTCAATAGCAAGATCCTTGTTAGCTGGGGTGTAGGGGAGTGGAAAGAGGGTTGGAGTTACCCCAGTAAGCTACATATGCCATAAGTTTGTTGCATAAGGTATATCATTGTACATGAGGTAAGAAATGTAAATTAGAAAGCAAAGCATTCTCTGGTTTACCTTCCATAAGAATACATTATGCCTGGTGGGAAGTAGGCTGTGTAACAACCCCCTGAATATTGCTCCATGCTCCAGTTCTTTTCTTCATAATGCACGGGCTGTAAGCATTAGCAAATGTTAGAGAGTGAAACAGTGGCAGAGAAATTGGAAATAAAAACCAAATTTCCTTTGAAGAGGGAAAGAACAGGCTAAGGATACCTGTCAAAGGAGTGCTATGTCATCTGGCTAATGCTATCCATCTGCACAAAACAAATCTTTTCACTTCCACAGAAGCACTAACCTCCCATGGGGAAATGACAGGACAAATTAAATCATGCACTGCCTTCTCTTTTCTTGTAAAGAGTGAGACTGGCAGCTTTTTTCTTCTTGTACTAGATGCTGCTGCCCTCCCCTTGGGAGTACAGATTGTCTGGCACAACATGCCATTTTAGGTACACATTCTAGGTACCAGGAATTTTGGCTTCATCCTCCAGAACAAAGGAACAACACTACTGTACAATAGAGGTGAAAACAGGCATTCATTTCTTACATGTAAAGCCTCTTCCATCCCCATTGCCTTGGCATATGCCTCACAGATCTTCTTCTTCCTATATGAAAATAAAATCAGAGTCAGAAAAAAAGGTGGAAAAACACCTCTCAGCTATTGCTTTTCTTATTAAAAAAAAAAAAAAATCACACTTACTGCAATACATTAGAAAGAAAGTTGGCTTTGGCTTTGTTTTTAAGTCTGATTTCAAGTTCTTATCTTAACATACATATTTCAGATGCTGGTGCCTAAATGTGACATCCAAAATGGACCCAGGGAATGGGAAATGAAGGTTGATTTTGGCAATGAGCTCCAAAAAATATAAATCTTTGTATAGTTATTTTAGGATGCAGAGCCAATTCATTCTCATGTTCACTGGTGTAAAACCAGAAGAGAAGCAATCTAAATCAATGAAATCCCTACAGATTTACTATAGCTGAGAACAAAGTATGAGCTGGAGAATACTACTCACATTCCTAAGCAGAACTCCTCTTTCACTTGCATGTGTACCAAAAATTGCATTTAGAAAGTACTGTTTGTTCATTTCACAGACTAATGGAGAAATCATATAGTTGTAAACATGGAGGTTTAAAAATTTTATTACCCAGTCTGAATGGGAAGGACACCCAAAACTATGCATGGCAGCACTCCCTGAGGGTGAAGCATCATTCAGTGGGGGTGCAGTCTGGGAATGTCTTTGGAAAAATCTTCTCAATTCACGTAGTGAAACAGAGTTGCTAAGTCATAACATGGAAGAGTGGGCAGGACTTGGAAACCCAGAAACATCCATAACTGGATGGATATTAGCATTAAGTCTTGGCCTGTTTACGCTAAAAACTTTACCTCCTTTTCAGTATTGGTAACTGCACGGAGCATGTATATATGTGCATATGCACACACATAGCCACACACTAATTTCTGTGAGGAAGCATCCCAGAGAACTGACTGATTTCTGAAATACTTAAAGTTTCTGAATTCTTACCTCTCTTCCTTACTGAGATGGGCCAGTTTAACAGCCTTTCTTGTAAGGATGAAACTGAAAAGAAATATATGGCATATAAATATCACGCAGTGTCAACACCCCCGCTGATTCACAAGCTCTTGCTTGAAATGACTCTAAAAAAAGACAGGCAAAAAGAACTTTACTGGTATGTAACGGGCTTGACATTTTTTCATCATACCTCATCACTTAATAATTACAGGCCACATGGGTGAAAAGGCCTATGTGGGGTACCCTATGGAGTTAATTGAAAGGGAGAACATGCATTCCCAGGGGGCAGGGGCAGAGGATTGCCTGGCAGCTACCAGATGAGAAAGTTGCAGATTGCAAGTGGGTTTTCAAAGCTGCCAGCACTGGCCTCATTTTGCTCTGTGGGAATGAACTTGCCATCCTGAGTGATTCAGGAGAGCAAAGTTATACCCAAAGTGGGCAGAGAGACAACAGTGTCCACCAAATCAGCTTGCACTCCCTACACCCTCTTATACCTAGGTCTTATACAAAAGGACTGAGACCCTCAGTTTTCTTGAGCTTTTGAAGTCTCGCAGACAGCTGACCACTGCTCACATCATTTGGTATTAATAAGTGATGGGAACTTGCTGCTCTGACAAGCACTGCACAGTGTCATGGACCAGTCCTCTAAAAAGTGGGATTAATATTTATTCAGCTTGAAGGAAACATATTTGGTGATTAGTTTACCTGACTCTAGTGGAGATACCTGGGGGATGAAGTATGTTCCTGCACACTTTTAGAATCACAGAATCGCTAGGTTGGAAAGGAC